AATGATTAGTTTTGCAAACGGTCTTACTATTTCTCTGTTCTAGAATCACGATATACGATAGGAATGGATTTAATCCTACCATGATAATTCTTTTACTGTTCCAAAAAGGGAAAAGGACTTATATTTCATGAAATGAAACAGCTGTCCGCATGCCTCAGATTTATATAGCCCTCGTTTCGTATGCAAACTGCTCTTCAATCAGACGTTCAAAGTTTAAACTTTCAGCTGAAACATATCAGCCTTTCAAGACTGTTCACGTAGCTTTTGACCAATGAGTATGACTAAACTGTAGGTATAATAAGTTAATAGGTAATTGTGCGCCTCCAATAGTTTGCTACGCGTTGGCCAGTCACAATGCTTGATATCTCTCGACCAAATGCGCGTTTGATTTTGCACGTTGTGATTGGCCAACGTGTTGCAAACTATTGGAGGCGCACTATTGTGAATCGTCTGTATTGTACTTCTATTTTTTTCAAACAACCTGTACCCATGTAGTTTGTGTCTCTTGCTCGAAGTCGTAAACAATATCATAGTTGTTTACGAGATTTGGGCGCACACAACATCGTTTAAAAACGGCAATGTGATAGGCTCTATGGAAGGAATGCCTAAACTGTCCTGAGTATATTTGATTTTTTGCTAATGGGGTTACGCATTATTCAATTCCGGATTAAAAGATGACAACAGTTAATAAGGTGTCTTATGTCTTATAATGTGTCCCCTCTCTTGTATATGTCTGTTGGCAATATGAAAAACAGAAGTTCATCAGTTAATGCAGTTTGGTCCGCTCATTTCCATAACAGAGGCTCAATCAACGGACGAAATCACCAACTTAGTTCAGTTCGGCAATCTTGTTATGTGCCTGGGAAACATTGGCTACACGGAAGGGTTGGAATACGACGGTTATGGCTGCTTTTGTGGCAAAGGAGGGAAAGGCACACCTGTGGACGCAACTGACAGGTTGGAATGGGAATCTAGAGGGTTAATTTGCAGGAAACCCAGGTCGATTTGTAAGCAGGTTCAGCACCAGCCAAATTTTCATGAACTTTACTTTTAAATGAAAATATAAAAGGAAAGTTACAAGTCAATGGTTTCAAAAATCGCTACAACTTGATTGAATTCACTCGAAAATTAGATGATTGCATCCAAGAACGCGCCCTACTCTCTGCCAGAACTGCCAAAAAGGATGTGTCCAAAGAAGTAAAGACTACTTTATAGTGTAAAACCACTCGTTGAGTGAATATAGAACTCAACAAATGGAGCTATAACGGACAACTCTGCTGAAATATTGACATTTACTCGTTTTGATGGGTTTGCATTCCGTCAAGAGTGGTTTCCACTCTTTTGGAGTGGTGTAATAAGGGACTTTACTCTTTTTAAGAGTGCTGCTTCCACTCTTTATCATTTTGAAACCAGTCTGTGGGAAAACTTTGTCAGTAATATCGCGAAGAAATAATGGTGTGTGTTCATAAGCAGGAAGTGTAAGTGATGCACGTTACCCCAGCTAATTTATAACAAAAGTTGTATTTCTTGTCAGATGCTGCGAGGTTCACGACAACTGTTACGGACAAGCCGTGGAAGAGGGAAAGTGCTGGTCTGTCGAAACCTACGGTACCACGTATTGGTACGACCAATCCACATCTTCTGGGAGCTGTTCCATCAGATGCTGTGAGATATATTTACATATTTCGACCCTGTTGATTGTTTACTACTGGTAATATTTCGTTTGGGAAGTTATTGCTGATTATTTACAATTGGTTCCCATTCCATATATTGATATTATTGAGCATCCAACATCATGGGCACCTATAATGGGTGGCACTATGACGTCTGCACAGTAAAGCGAATTCCACTGTAGCCTTGTATAGTACAACGCCCGTTTGAGGAATACTGCAGTATCAAACGTTCTCGATTCCGAATTTTTCATGCACTTTTCCTAAGGTTTTCCCAAATTTACTGTTACCCAAAGAAATGCGTATAGGATCATTGACAATGACTTGAAATTTGAGTAGAGTTGACATATTACCACTACATGAAAAAAATCTTCCTTCCCTTGATTGCTTCAAGGGCAACGGTGTTACCTGAACATGAACATGGAAAATACATATGTAGATATAGACAGTTTACCCTTCTGGGATTTATTAACCGAGGATCTTCAGGGGACATTTTGCTATTAATTTCAATTGTTTTTAACAACGCTTGTATGATATTTCTGCGGTTTCAAAAAAGTACGTTGTGCCTCTGTGGAACCTGGGCATGTCATAATGATGTCATCAGAGGACATGTAAAGGTGCCCTTTGTGTGCAATATTCACAGCTGCATATATCCAAAAATACAAGTCAAGGCTGAATCTAGTCGGCCGTGTATTGATGCAAATGTAGGTGACATCATGATGACGTCAACGGTGGTTATACGGTGGTTATGTGAGGGCGCCCTACATGTGCAATGTTCACAGCTCTATATATCCAAAAGTACAAGCCCTGTTGGGTTCAAATTTGGTATGTGCATACCCTGTGTTATAGATAAAGATAACGTCATGATGACATCATCAGGTGGTTTTTATTTGTTAAAATTTGCATATTTTAATATTCTTTTCGATATATATCTTAAACAAACCAAGTTATATGCGACATCCCTTTTGTATACAAGGGCTATGTAACCTACATATATGTAGTCTATATGTGAGCCAGTTATAAGTGGCCAAATGAGCCCGTGTTTGCCTACAAACACATATAAGTTTTATTTTCTTCCATTTCGTCTAGGGGAAGAGAGCGAATACAACCTGCAAGCATCCGTTTACCCAATTCAAGAGAAGTGCATGGTTTCGAGAAACCTAATTAAATCCACACGAGCAACAAATGCTTTATGACGAGAACAACTTTTTTCTTGTTTTGTTTTGCAGGGGAAGAGGGTGATTACAACTCTCTTGTCCCAAGTAAAGCATGCAAGGCCGCTATCTGTGAATGCGACCGCAAAGCGGCGCAGTGCTTCGCCGACAACCGGCCTACGTTCAACCGCAAATATCTCAATTATGCCAAGGACACCTGCTAGTCAATTCTTGAATAAGTACATGACTTGCATACCGCCGCTGGTTGAGAACAGATTGAATAAATATCTGGAGTAATGAATTAACGTATTAACAAAATCATGATGAAAACGACATTTTCTGGGAAAAAAAGGCCTTTTAGAGTTCGACAGTCGTAGCTATATAAACGATACGGTGACATTTTATTTTACAAGAGCCTTATTGAAGTATAACGAATTTAAGATTTACACACGACACAATTATGGAAAATGTTTTGGCAATGAGTACTGATAGGCAGCAATTTTCACGACCATTGGAGACTTCCTTCTCCCACTTATTACCAAGCTGAAAAATTCCACATTCCACACGGCGCATGACGAGTGGGCTTGTCATTTGCAAGACGGATTTTTAAGTTTGTCAAGATCTTTTGTTGACGATAGTACTGGTAAGAAAAATTAGCAATAACCACTTTTAAACATATGGAGATTTGATTTTGATTTTCACATTCAAAATTGAAAATTTTGGTGATTTACTCGACAGGCAGAAAACAACAGGGAGAAGGATGCTTGTTCTCCAATCACTCAAAAGAAAAACAAAAAACTTACGACCTCTCATGACATTCCCCTCCCCGAATTCACCATTATAGACACTGCAAGCCCTAGTTACACCAATCGGATAAGAGACCATTCAATAAATCAACATTTTGATTTCATTTTTGAGATCTACCGAATTTGTTGGTTGTCAAAAAATGCATACTTTGAATTAACTTAAAGACAAGATCGCCGTAACAATTTCTAAAATCTGCAGTATTTATTTATGAATTAGTTATCGCAACTACATCTCACAATTTTGCTTGATTTAACAGGCTAGTAACAAAAACTTGATACCCATTGTTAAAAAATCGAGAACAACTCCTCAAGCAAAATGACAGAGAGGCTCCAGAAAACCAGACTTGACATGAACAAAAGTAGAAGAATTAAAATTATTCACATCATTGAAGATTATACATACACACACACACACCGTGGGGGTAATCTATTCGGTATTTGTTTCCATTACATCTTGGTGGACGTAATGTATACCTTAAGGTGTTGTCAGAGTATGCAGAAAGAGGGGACTCAAGTTTGTATCCTGAATCTTACAATGTCTCTAGTTTCATAGGTTGTAAGGCATTCTCATAAGATACACCTTGACCAATCATTCTCAAATCCCCTTTCCGAATATGGCATTTCTTTCCAAATTACATCTTACACTCACGCATTTTTATTAGTCTCTGTGTGAATCTTGAGTGCGTTTTTTTTTATTATAAAAGGGGTATTCTATGGTTGATCTGTCGACTAACATCACGGCACACTTTTATGTTCAGTCACATGGTCGAATACATTGTACTCAAACATGACAGTATGGTACGCTCAGAACAATTGTTGTAGAACTAAAATCCGGTTTGGTCTCTTGGATGTATTATTTCATTAGGACTTTTGGTGGGCCTGATACCGACTTATAGAGCCTTAGCTTGGCGTTTGGGGGAACTGAACTGAGTCAAACTGAATGGGAATCTAATTAGTCGAATTGAACCGAGTCGATCTAAATAGCAATTTAGTTGAATGGAACTTAGCGTAACTAACTATAATCAGATAATTATACTGCATAAATTCAGATATTCATAGAGATTTCCTAGTTATATATCATTTGGTTTTGTCAATGTAAAAGTCATTGCATATTGTCGCTGCTCATAGCATTGGAGTCAAATTTCGTATTCATTCTTGTTTCTGTCAATCTTCACTTTTTGGAGCAAATCAATGATTAAATTATTTTAATTGGTTTCTTTTATGGTGCGATATACCTGACTCTTCTGGCCTCAAAGTTTGTCTTGTCGTCTATCACTGTCTTGCCCGGCCCTTACCATTCGTAACTAATCATTTGGCAGACCTTCCTACCCGAAGCGTGGTGCATGTAACATTGCCCCATGGTCATCTGATAGTCGCGACATTTATATCAAAATGTGTTTTGTCACATATAGATCAGTCACATTGGTCATTGGTACCGATATCATGACTAACGCGGCAGCTTCTCTTCGTATTTATAAAAAAATCTTCATTTTGGGAGTTCAGTTCCAACGCTAGAATGCTTAGAGTTAAAAAAACAAATGTTGCTGGGGGCGGCAAACAAATCTAGGGTAAATCGATGATATGATAATACGGCTATGGTTATCCCAGAGTTTCTTGACCTAGCAGCCGTAATAGATTGTCTGTTTCCTCGCCGGCAATTCTCGGCAAATGAATAACTGCGGTCATCTGCCTGAATTTCAGCGGGACCTTACAGCGGGATTTCAGCGGGACCTTGTGATAATACGGCTATGGTTATCCCAGAGTTTCTTGACCTAGCAGCCGTAATAGGTTGTCTGTTTCCTCGCCGGCAATTCTCGGCAAATGAATAACTGCGGTCATCTGCCTGAATTTCAGCGGGACCTTACTCCGCTTCAAATTGGGACGATTCAACTGTATCGTACGATCCAGTGTTGACATTATCTTGACTTGCCTGATCAACACTGTCGATGTAATAATAATGGATATTTATAAAGTGCACACATCCATCTAAAAAGAGACACAGTAGCATAAGCATTATAACAGAGATGTGTTTTGAGTGACCTTTTGAAGGCATTAAGTAACATGCACGACTGGATATTATTAATAAGGATGTTATTCCACAGACGTGGGGCAACTACGCGGAGTGATCTATTTCCCCAGGACCCACGAGATCTCAGTCCCAGTGCCATAGCTAGGATTTTACTAGTGGGGGCACAAAGGGGGCACCAGTTTTCCGTGGTGTGTTTTTGGGGGCCAGTTTTTTTTAGCCTTGTTAAATATCTATCCCGAGCTTTTTTTATCAGTGGGGGGCACCTGTGGGACACTGGAATTTTGTGGGAGGGCACGTGCCACCAGCCCCCCCCCCGTGGCTACGACACTGCTCAGTGCAGCCAAAAGATGTTGATTAGCTGATCGAAGACCAGGGCAATTAGATGGGTACGGAGCCAGCAGTGTGAACAAATAGGGGAAATTTGGTGTAATGGACGATATGTTAAGTAAAGGAGTTTGTACACCATTTTGAATTTTATAAGGAGCTAGGGAAATGTTGAAGAATAGGTGTTATATAAGCATAACGTCTATAGTCTAAGCTATGAGTCGTGCTGCATCGTTTTGTCTCTGCTGAAGTTTGTTCAAGTGCTGTTGATGTATACCAAACTTGAGAATAGAATTGCATAGCTCCAACCAGGAGGTAATAAAAGCATGAAATGGTTGCTCAGTAGCCTTTTTTGACAGACATTGCCTAATTTTGTTGCGCTTTCGGAGATGGTGTGCTGTGCATTGTAATACATATGATGTGTGGTTGAAAAGTCATCCCAGAGTCCATTATTACACCAAGGTTATGAATTTGCTGAACGGGAAACAGTATTTAATTTAAGCCTCCGACAGTGATATGACAAACTGTTACTTAAACTAGCTGTTCCATTTGATCCCAGCAAAATGAATTCCGTTTACATTTAGTTTCAGTATATTTGCTTCCATCCACTGAAAAATCTGGCCCATGCATGCCTCAATATTGGCCGGGTGATTATCAGCAACGTGCTGCACGGGTTTAATTGGCAGATATAAGTTGTAAATCGTCGGCATAATCATAATGCGGTACTGGAGGCTGAAACGTTGAACAATATTCCGAATTGGATTTACCTGAATGAAAAACCATTGAGGCCCAAGCACCGAGCCTTGAGGCACTGAGTATGAAAGAGTTAAGAGTTCTGTTATGGATATATGATTTACAATATTGTAAAGCCAATGCCTTTAGATTCCAGTTTCCTTAGTATAATGACATAATCGGCAGTGTCGAATAATGCACTGAGATCTAATAACAGAAGTGTCAAAATATTTCCATTACCCATGGCACGGAAGCGTCCAAATATTTCCATCACCCATGGCACTATGTCATTTCAAACACGAAGCAAAACAGTCTCTACATAAAATGGCCTGGTGAAAATGCCTGTAAGTATTAAAATACGGGAAATCTTCTCTATAATTTTTCCAAGAAATTTTAAGTAAGCCACCGGGAGGAAATTTTTATTTTCTTCTTATTTAGACTGAATTTTTCAACAATGGCCTAACATGGTAAACTTGAAGACTGTCAGGAAAATGGCCCATTACAATTGGTTTATTTACCAGATCTGTCACAAACAGAGCAAAAATATTAATGTAATCTTTCAGTAAGACCGTTGGTAACGGATCAAGATCACAATGCTTCGTTGGAGCCCAAATTACGATCTTTTTAACTTCATCAACAGACGCCAACTCAAAGGAGTCACTACAAAGATCACACGGTGGCGCTTGGAAGTTAACTTTAACTGGGTCTACCTGATCTGCAGTGCTTCTACAAATGTTAACATTTTTGTCATGAAAATTAATTGCAAGCACATGGTCAGAAAACCCAGTAAGAAGACCGGGAGTTTGTTTCCTGTGGAGTAAAGTGTTTGCCTTCTGGTCTCCTGAGCACTCGGCCACAGAGTCCCAGTTTCTTGGCATCTTAGATCAGTTTCTTGAAAAAATATGTTGCCAATGATACAGTGCCCGTTCCCTCTCAAGCTTTGACCTACGTCACTTCCGCTCTAGGCGTCTACGCAGATATTTGGCATTATTGTGCAATCATACCTGTTGGTGTTTTCTCTGATGGCAGCCCTGCGTGTTCTCACAGGAGCATATTTGTCCAACGGCTCATGCACAGCAGCTTTGTAGCAGAGGATACACACGTCAAGATCCACAGCCTTGACGTCAGTATCTGAGAGTTTGCTATGAAGATCACTTCAGAACTTCTCCTTGTCAATGGCCGTCAGGCTGCGAGTGGAGAGGAGTTTATATGGAAGAGGCGGTCTTCCGAGAGCTACAGTACCACAAAGAGCAAAATGGTCAGACAGGCCTGGGTGTATGTGGACATCACTCACCACAGATCCATTGGTGTCATGGGTTATTATTTGATCGAGAGTACGGCCATTTTAATGGGTGGATTCATTGATAAGCTGACGAAACTCGTTACAAAATAGAACTTCTTGAAACGTTCTAAATTCTTGGTATCATTCGTCCTCAGTCCACACATTGAAATCACCCATGAAATGACTTCAGATGGGTCAATCATCTAAGTCAATTTATCTAAAAAGACACTGTAAGGTCGTGGTTGTTCTTGCACATCCCTTACATCAGGCGGACGATAGATAACAACCAACTGTATCGAACGAGAGTTGCTCAATACCTCTGCATAGAGATATCTGTAAGATGTACACTCGTCTATATTGTGGATCGTCAGAGCCAGGGTTGATCTATCTAGGATACCAACGCCACCGCCAGTCTTGCGATGGCGAGGAACATGGTGAAAAGTATATCCCCTTGGCGTTAGATCTCGGACTATCGCATCATTCATCGGTTTACCACGTCGCACAGAGTGCAGCGATATCATAGTCCTAATTAACAACAAAGTCTACAAATTCTTTGGTCTTATTTCGAATCGACTGAATGTCTCTAACACAGAATTTAACTTGTGTATCAGCATAGTTTATTTGCTCTGGATATTCAGGGATTGCTTGGTCTAAATTTACTAAATTTACTTGACCAGCGTGTGTGGAGAGTGAAGTGCGGCTGTGTTTTCATTTCCTTGATCCACCACGGTTACCTCTATGTGTTAGCTTATGGAAATTATCTTCAACGACAAAACTTGATGGCTTGGTAGCTTATAGGCCTACACCGACATATACTTTTTTCCTGAGGTGGGCAAGCGTCTTTGTTGAAAAAAAATCAAATTAATCTGATTAATTTTTTTAATAAAAAATGATATAATTTACTACAAAATCAACCTGGGCTGTACAAAAAGCAACCTGTGAACAACTTAATATAGGACTTGGAAATTTCCTTTTTTTCTTTTTCTTTTTGCCAAGAAATCTTCATATTTCATTAC